TTACATAGGTCAAACAAAAAGATCCATAAAACCCGCGTGAAAGAACATATAACTGACGTGAAGCACCGACGCTCCGAGAAGTCTGCAGTCTGTGAACATGTTCAAAATCGTCCCAACCATTACATCAGATTTGATAAACCACAAATCCTCGCAAAAGAACACTAAATCCTACCAAGGATGATAGGCGAGGCTATTGAAATTAAAAAACATCCTAATTTCGATAGTGAATATGGATGGGTGCTGCTATCTGCTTAGGATCTTATAATTAACAAAATTAAACCCAAACCCAAGCATACCACTGCAAGATTTCTAGATACTGTAAGCTCGTTCTGCGTAGATCGGACCATAAATTTATATTAACAAACTGAAGATAGCCGGGCTTGCTATGACATTGGGACGTCAACCATCTCAGTCCCTCCCGTGACCATGGGTGCTCTAAAGCACTCGAAACGTCGGGAATTTAAAAATAAGTTAAAGTAGTAATTAAACGCGATAAAATTCGTAAATATAGTTTTATTCAAAGTCCTAAAATTGATAATTCCATGCAAAAGTTAATGACAAAAACAGACTTTGGTCTGCAATGATCAGTAATTAGATTGTGTAAAAGTATGACAAGTTTGTGTAGGAAATACTAAATGTAAACATAAACGAAATCAACCTAAAAGGAATTAAGGACTTCTAATAAAGTTTTATAATGTAACGTAATTGCTTCGGACTGTTCGTTTTAAATTTTTATCGTACTTGACTTGCCCTTGTTAAGTGGTCAATGTAATCTACACCAGTATTTTCTTACCAGTTATTTTTAATGTATTTTGTAAGCTTAAATATATATGACGTGGTTGTATTATAATCTATACACATAATAAACGTATCTTTTTCTGTTTGTCGCATTTAGTGATATTTTAAGATAATCTTGGCTTAGAGTTTGTTTTATTTAAATTATTTAAATTTTATTTAAATTGGTTACTTCACATCCCGCTTCATACCCGCGTTAAAGAACATATAGCTGATGTGAAGAATCGACCCTCCGGGAAGTCTGCAGTCTGTGAACACGTACAGGATCGCCCCCATCACTACATCAGATTTGATAGACCGCAGATCCTCGCTAAAGAACACCGATTCCTTCCAAGGATGATTCGCGAGGCTATTGAAATCAAAAAACATCCTAATTTCAATAGAGAAGATGGCTGGGTGCTACCATCTGCTTGGGATCCTATAATAAATAAAATTAAATCCCAACCCAAGCATACAACTGCAAGACTTCAAGATACCATAAGTTCATACTGCATAGATCGGAACAAAAGTTAAATTTTAATCTGTGGTAACCGCGGTTAACTATGACATATGGACGTTGAACATCTCAGTCCTGCCCGTGACCATGAGTGCTGTAAAGCGTTCGAAACGTCGGGTATTTTAAAAAGTTAAAATATACGCGATAAATTCCGTAAAACTAGTATTATTTCAAAGTGATAATGGGTTCCCATCAACTATTACGCCACGGAAAACAAAATTGCTTTCGTCTTTTTTATCACACTGAAGAAAATTGCGGTCATTTACGGAGAACGATAAAAAACAAGGGGTCATTTACGGAGAACGATAAAGAAATCTTAGAAAATTAATTCATGAATTTTCTTCGCTAAATGTGATCGTTTAGTAAAAAATTTATGTAATATGTCTACGGAATAAATCTTAATGGCTTTTTTTATAAAACAATGGTGGCATGCTTAGCACATAGTCAACCTGATGGTAAATAAATAAGCCTATAGATATTTCCATATATTATTATCGATTATAAATTGAGACGCATCGTTACCCTGAGGACTAAGATGAAATGACTTTTCAACATACGAAACACAGCAACGTGATTCTGCTGATTCACCGTATTCAATGATGCTATTCAATGAGAGCGTGATCCTAACCCTATCGAGCTGACCTATTCGTGCTGCAGTTTTGTCTAGCATAGCTGCAGTGGACTATACCACGTAAATATGTTATGGTGAAACTTCTTTTTTTATAAAATCAAACTCTCGGTTGCGATAGAGACCATTTTTTTCTCTTATGTTATTCCGATACCGCGTTGAGATCTACTTTATTTTATGTAGCGGAATGCTGGCCTCTTAAAATGCTACTAGTTGATAAACTGCAAGTTGCTTAAATAAGTATTCCAAGGTCAGGTGATTGGCAGGGGCTACTTGTTGTATAGACAAGACGGTTTATCCTAAGTAGTTTTAAAACAAGGTGACTGCCTGTGTAAATGCTCGTATAAGGGAGCGTTAATAAAATAGAGCGGGTTTGCTGGCGGGATGTTAACTGGAGAGCATACAGTAGCAGTTAGATGAGCAATAAATAACACTTCTTGAGAGTTTCTTCTTATTTTATTTCTTGATTCCTTATTATTACATTGCCGGATTTGGAATGTTTTACCACGAAAAAACGCCCCTTTTTTATAAGCGGCTGTAACCAATCATAATTAAGAAAAAATCGCACACGGCATTAGTGAATCTATTGACCAATCAGAGCACAGAATGACCCTTTCTAAGAGAGATTTACAATTTCCTTAATAAACGTGGTAAAACATACCTTACAACATTTATATTTATTCCTAACGATAGATACAACTTATTTCTATTATTCTAAACCTAAATTATTCAATAAACCTTTATTTTATACTTATAAAAAATAAAAATAGCTTCGCGGTCGCTTCACGGTTTAGCTCCGGAGTAGGATAGTATTTTTTGCCGAACATACAAGTAGCGCCGCCAAGAGGTAGGAATGTACAACACTCTTTTTTCAGGAATAATGCTTAAGAATCTATACAATATTTTTTCATGAAATTTAAATCTTTCTCATTATGAAATAACATTATATAGTGATTAATTGACATATTAATGTTTCTTTTGAATTACTTTAAAGGAAAAAAGAATTATATTAATCACCTATATGTTAATAGCTCTTAAAGTTATGATAAAAGAAATCTTACTAGAAAATAAGCTTATACTTGCGTCTAATGTTCTAATTAGACCTAAATAATATTAAATAGATTCATATAAGTTACTTTAAGATAAGAATAGAAGTGTTTAATTTACTTTCCTGTTTTCAGCACTAATCAGTCTTTACACTTAGCTTTATTTTACGAATAGGAAACAATTAAGATTAAATACTATCACTTAGTTTTAAATCACTGATAAGAAATAATTAAGATTAAATGTTCGAATTCACTTCGTCGTCGCTAACAGCCTGAATAGCATCAAGAGATACTAGTAGTGAATGGTACAACCATGTCGTAAAGAGACCAAAAGTCTAATACAGATTTATTGATGACCCAGAGTAAATCACTCTAGTGACTAAGGATTTCGACAACTTGCCCGAGATAGAAATGGAATAAGATCAGAAGAAGCAAGAGAGTGATGAATGCAAAGAACGAAAACACGATTTCATTTAGTTGCTCAGTCAGACCAGTTGCCTTAACAATACTTCTTTTCAGTGCTGTGATACCCAGTCTGGTGCCGTTGCACAATCTCGGTGCATCAAGGTTACGCATCAACAGAAAGTGTGACGCTAACTTTTAAACTGGTTAGGCAGCACTGTTATTACTGGACACTAATATAATATTGTAAGTAATATAGTAGCTCACTGAAAAATTGATGTAACTATAAGTAACGAATTTTCATTTCAATAAGTAATTATTACACAAACTTTGAAGCTAATTATTTAATTAACCACACTTCAATGAGTCTTGCGCGATCGTTCAAACACGTTTTATATTATATACCACAGTTCTAATTTCTTAGAGACTTAGAAATTCATAATTACGAAATTACGAATATCGATGATCCGTCTGATACTACATCACAGCTTAGAGTGATCAGCATTATTACCACGTAGCAATATCAAGAAAATTCATAATTTGAATTCCATAAAATAACTATATATTATCGTCTCCTTTAGAACTTCCTTGTAGAGCCAACACATTATCGATTTTACAGCACAAGTCTTTTGAGGTTGTGAGGTGGTGAGGTTTTTGAGGTAAACATGTTGATAGTGATAAATCCATTTTAAAAACTACCTATAATTTAAATTAGTACCTATGCCAGAGTAGCGATTTTAATCACGTAGTTGTAATTCTTTTATATGTTGTGAATAATGTTGTGATATCCGCATATGTTCAGGAAACAGAGTTGCGCATGCGCAGTTGATATAAAAATTGTCATAATAAATATTTGTTTATTTAGATTGTATTGTTAATCGCGTACATTTTTTTAAATGTTCGCTTACTTTGCATATAGGTTAATTTAATATAAAATTATTATTAGCACTGCTCCGCACTGCATGAATATCGGAGCCACAATAACAGGTGTACGGATTGCAGTACAGTTCAGTTGAACATAGTGAGTGTTCAGTATGCCAAATCTAGTGCGTATTACATATTATATATCGATGATATAAAGTGATTTCTTTTATTTGAAATCACTCTATATATTTATACTGAAAAGATAAGAGTAGGGAAAGAACAATAACTAAACTAATAAAAATACTTTATTTATGATATGTTATGTTTAGAAACAAACCTTCAATTAATGAATAAATACATCAAAACAATCAAAATACATTGCCGAATAGGATTTTATTTATTTGTTTATTACATGTAGCGTTGCATTATAGGATTGGATTATTTTACTCTACTTGCAACACTGAATCAATCCGTCAAGTATCAAAACACAACACAACACAAACAACAGACAGTCAAAACAGTGTCAAAGTAAAACTTGTTTCACGTTTATTTGTATTCGTTCGTATTTGTGTGCTATCGTATTTTACTTTTATTCAATAAGTTGCGTGGCCCCACACGAGTGCTCCACTAATTATAAACGGTGTCATACATAAGTTTAAATAAGGAAAATGGACCTTTTACAAGTGTGTGCTTACTATGGTATCGCTGTTAGAGAACGCATCAGGCGAGTCGCCTGAAGCGACATGTAATATCATCATTACCTCCTGATATGACTGTTGTTTTATTGCAGTGGTTAACTTTTGAGGTAAGCTCTAGTTTCGCTAAGTATAGTATTTATAGACTATTACTTATTTACCTACAACATTTACGAGAAGAATCAAATTGAGATATTATTTACCCTATAATCTATAATCTAATAAATTGATTCGACGGCTTAGAATCTTAGATTAATGAGAACTTATTTTTCCTTCACAGTTGTCACCTCATATTTGCGTCTGCGGTGCCTGCTATGACACAATAAGACGCCTTGCAACAAATTCAAGGAAAATACAACTTGGTCACTATAATGTTTTCTATGACTGGTAGATCTGTTGCACATGCAAGATAACACAGCATTCCAGAATTTAGTTCTCTCGCCTCCGTTGTATCATCATGTCATCACCATGTGAGTAATTATTTTCATTATTCATTAAAATTCACTCTGCAAATAAGACACAATAATTAAACAATCACTGTGGCCCATATGTAGTATTGTCAATCTCTAAACTCGAATATTTATAATGGTGCTATACTGTTAACTAAAACTAACTTCTCAAAATAATCACTATGCATTAAAGTTGTTAACTTTCCAAAATACATATACATTCATCTATATTTTTTGGTTTCAACAGCTTGTCTCAATGAAAGTGAACAATGTGGTAAAGTTTTATATTTTTTCAGGTTATAGCGGCCAACATTTTGTGTCATGGTTGTTATGTGAAAGCTAAAAGAGAAGTCATCCGAAGAAATATTGTTGATTATAACAGATTTACAAACATAGAAGGAAACTAAGCTGTGCAAGAAATTCCAGTGCCAAATCTCCCACCTCTCCCCCCTAGACCAGCAGTAAGTAACATTCAAGATGTATCAACAATTGTCCTGCCGAATTATAGATGTTGTGCTAATATGTATAGAAGATGCATATTAGATGGATGTCAGCGTAGTGCAGATCATTTAGTGCAGACCTTGATTAAATCAGCTCTGTTCTTGGATAGTAAACTTTATGTGTCGAAGTGCCAAGGTATGTGAAGAACAATTACATTCCAATGAATAGGAATTATTACTAGAGAACACTGGTTTAACTTATTTGATTACCAAAAAAACCTTAACCAAACCTTAGATGACCAAATGTGAGGAAAATGTTATTGTTTTGGAAAATGTTTCATCAATGCCTAGTCATGTATGTCACTATTGGACAGGGCACACTACCCAGGAATTCAATATTATAATATGAAAATACAATGATTTCAAAAGAAAGGATAGGCCCATCAAAATATTTTACTCGTAACTTTTTCATACAAGAAAAAGTAGCGCATCTGTCATAATAAAAACGTCATATCAAAACACGACATAACCAGGGTCGGATTTCAAAGTATAATTATCCTAAATGTACCATTATTTCATAGTTTGTAGTACATAGTATTGTAATAATACTAAGAGAAAATAACATAATTTTACCTAAAGGTCGACTTGTATTATTATTGGGTCCTTTTACATTTTATTATTAACCCTACGATATCGAGAATTACTGTATTGTACATGAGTACCGCGTTTTTTTAATAAAATTAGAATTAGCTCCCTTTCTGGTCAATCGATGCTCCACCGATGCATTAATGTCGCATCCTTGATACAACTATAATGAGGTGCTACCACGATAAAAACTCAATCAATTCAATTTGAAAACAGAATTTCGAAATATTTTATGAATCAGATTTTCAGATTCAATTGAAGCAGATATGGTTTCTTTTATACTCTTTTCGTTTTACCCTTATTGAATATAAAATATATTATATACCAATATTTAAAATTTCACATACACTAAGTTATTTCGACAAAAATTAAACAAAAATAAAAATAAAACCGTCAAAAAACGAAACGTATATATAAACAAGACACGTGACGCCCGGCACATGGGAAAATAAAAATGAAACATCAAACTTCATACAATTTCTTAAAAATAGTATAATTTTATTTTCCATGTACAATATTTTTGAGGGTCTAAATCCAACCTTGGCCTAATCTTGGTAACGTAACTAAACTAACTGTAAAATGAAACTTTAAAAATGCGTTTATATAATAATTTAATTGTATTCTAATTGTATAAGGTTATTTACCGATGATACGATATCCCATGTTTTTTATAAATCTTTGTATCATAATTTTTGCATTCTTTTACCACGCAACTAGACATATTTATGACAGGCAAATCTGTCCTGCGCACGCACCACTGTCGACCGATTCGCGTTGGCCCTAAACTGTAATTTTAGGGCCAGCGCACTGGTCTGTTTTAGTTGTTCGGTCGGCCCGGTCCTTACGCTAGTAATATATAAGTCAATGTGAAAATATAATTATTACAATATTTTATAATATGAAAATAAGTAAACAACTGTTATAAATATTACTGATAAGTCAATAATTACAAATGTTTAGGAAATGAAATTACTTATATAATATTCTTTGCAAATCTCTCAAATTCTAAATTAAAAATAAACTGAGAAAATTATCTATGACAATACTATGACTTACAATCAATTTTATATTTGTAATTAAGAAAAATATTATAAAAGAAAATTACATAATTATTATTTAAATGATTTTATTAGCAATTATTTAACAATCACTGATAACACTTGTTTTAATACTCTCATCAAAATGATGTATAGTGCATTGAGGTAAGATCGGTGATGGGGTAAGACCGTAAAATTCAAATTTCCGGTGAATTATGTTATATTTTTGAAAGCTAGCAATATGGTACAAGACTCCATTTTATTCTGCCCCAACCCCAAGTTTCAGTCAGTCGCTCCGAAAATAGGGCGTGTACTGCGCAGTATTTTATAAAACAAGGTAATTTTTGTATTTTTTTCGTTCGTCCGGTCTTTCCCTATCACTTATTTGCGATTTTTAGCGACGCCCGGTCTTACCCCTTGATGGCCAATTCTTCATCATGCATATAAAAATTATGCCTTGTCTTCACACACGTTTTAATCAGAAACTGTTGAATTTTGAAAAGTAAAAGCTTCTTATAGCTAAATTACGTGTAACCATTAACGATTTACGCCATGTTTCAGAAATCTGACTTATATGGATGTCGAGAAAATAAAGGTTTTGCCCGACTCTTTTAACTAGTCGAAGATCGACCGGTATAACCCCAACGCACCTTATTCATTTTAGACTGTGGCTTTAGAGATTCTATTTCCAATTTAGATGCGATATTAGGTTATTGGTCTAATTGTGTAGCTGGAAACCGGACTGTTGGTTGTTGTGCACATATAATGAATATTCTGTGGTACATGGGATGGGCAAGATACCAGGAAAGTATTATTCCACCAGCTGCATTTCTTGATAATGTACTAATAACATTAATTGATTAAATGCATAAAACAATAAAAGTGGTTTTATTTTCTATCTAATATAGGTAGGTGCGCCTAAAAAGGGCCGGTTCCAAATAAGGTCCATCTTTTCAAACTTCTCCTACTTAATACTTAAAACAAAACGGATACCACGCGGCCCCTTCCCAGTAACCAATCACAAAAGCGCACCGACGTTTATTGTTTTCGCGGTGACCATTTTGTCAGTGGCTCTGTGTTTAACCCCAGGGGCGGTCGACGTGACTCAATTTATAAAATATTGTGACTCAATTTTGCGTTGTTTTAGTTATAAAACCCGGTCGTTTTGTAATAATTCTGCAATAGTAGTGTAAAATACTTTCAGAACGTGGATTGACAGGGTAAGTTATCAAAATTATTGCTTTTTTATCTCGATTTTGTTTTAGTTTTCTCAGGACATATCTAAGTGCCTAACAAGGTCCACTTGTTGTCTCCAAAGAAGGGCCGGACCTTATTAGGGGATACGAAGTTTTAAAATAGACTTTTTTTAATTTATATACGCTTTTTTTGATTACATTTTAAACAGAAAAATATATAATAAGGATAAGTAAATACACACTGTGAATATATGTACATATTTATCTTTTAATCTTTAGCTGCAATGGTTGCCATGTTTGTTATTTTCAAACACTTAATAAGGTCCAGACTATGATTACAGAAGTGTAATACCTAATAAGGTCCTATTGTACAGAAGTGTAATACCTAATAAGGTCCTATTAGGTATTACACTTCTGTAATCATAGTCTGGACCTTATTAAGTGTTTGAAAATAACAAACATGGCAACCATTGCAGCTAAAGATTAAAAGATAAATATGCACATATATTCACAGTGTGTATTTACTTATCCTTATTATATATTTTTCTGTTTAAAATGACTAAGACTGAATAAATGACTGATTAGTAACATTTTGTGATTTTCTTTACTAGAGTAAATAAAAATCAGCATAAAACTACAATTTGTTTCAATTATAACTAGAAAATAGATTAATTATAACTCATATACATTTCCTAAGAATTTATAAGGGCCACGACACTAATTTATATAAATTTCCGTTTCATTATTCGAAAGCTACGAACTTAATAGTAGTTTAAAGCCACTGATTTCTAAAGATGTAATTTTTCTGGTATATAACGCTTAAAACCTTGCAGTTCAATTATGGACCTTATTTAGAGCCCTAGTGCCCAATAAGGACCATAGACAAGCTTTTAAAGAACTTTTTTTGTAAGTAATTGGCCATTGGTGCTTTGTTTTTGTACAATATTTTCTCTTCAAATAAAAACAATTTACTTGATCATGATGTCTTACAAATTAACACACTTCCCTAAATTGATTTATAAGGATTTCCAAAAACCCGGCCCTTATTAGATGCAATTACCTTACTTCAATCAATAATAGCACTAATATAATTATGTTACACAAAATGGTTACAGTAAAAATAATTTCAAAGACTCAAAGAAACTGCTGTCCCTGTTTTTTTAGCTAAACTAGTTAGGATACATCCTAGATATCTGGGACACGTGAAATTTTAACTTTATTAATATCTAAATTGTGTAATCATGATAACAACCAACTGAAAAAATGGAATTTGACGTATGCTTTTGTTCGTGAACATTGTATTCTTTTATTATTCTAATCCAGTGCTTAACTACAGTCCCACCTGATGGTAAGTGGTGATGGAGCCTAAGATGGTGAAGCACTGACTTAACAAAAATCTATTCTCTTTTGCCATGAAGACACCCGCATTGTAATTGGATGGAAAGACAGATGGTGGCAACTTATTCCACTCCTGTGCTGTACGTATGATGAATGACGTAACAAACCGTTTAGTTCGAATGCGTGGTAAATCAACAACAAAAGGGTGGAGACTAGCCGAACATCTGGTTGTCCGATGGTGGAAGGGAGAAGCAGGAATTAAATTATGCAATTACTGCGCACACTCCGAAATGCATCCTGTAGATAACCGAAAGGTTGCCAAGGACTCCTAGCTTCCTTGCAGCTGTTTGGCCTTAGACTCAATGAACCGCCCAAAGTTCAGATTTGATGATATCTCAACCCCCAACAACTGGAGGCGGTCGGTGTATTCCAGTGATTGATTTCGGAAATAAGGAGCCAAGGTGAGCTGACTCCCTTTTCCAATGAAGAGACACGCTTGTGTTTTGGAGACATTTAAGTTCACAAGATTGGCATCACCTCACTCGAAGACTGCCTGTAGTATGAGATTCACACGCTCCACCATAGCTTCTCTTCCGAACTGGATTTGATCCCGCCAGACCCGAGGACTTGGTATCTCTCCATAACTGTGCTGTCCTCCACGTACCCATAGATACCGGGCATAAGCAAATCATTAATATGCAGCAGAAGGAGAGTTGCGGAGAGAACGAACTCCTGAGGAACACCGGCGTTA